TTTCCCCCTCCCTCATGAGCCCTTGATAATTTATAAATTATTATTATTTTGTCATGACCAGTGGTGAGAGCAGCGATACCCGGAGGGTGGACGGAAGGTGGGGTAGAAAGGGGGAACTGATTACAAGGATCTACGTATAACCTCCTCCCTGGGGGACAGACAACAGAAAAGTGGGTGAAGGGAGACCTCACACAGTGTAAGAAAAATTTCATTTTTTTATTGTAATACAACTTCCATGTCTTTTCACAAGTATTAGAAAGGACAATCCAAAAGATCCTGAGCAGATATTCAGAATCCCGTATACTGCAGGGATTGGAATTCCTGAAAAATGGCAAGCGTGTCAGCAAGCCGGGGATTTATAGCAAAGCCTGAGTTCCATTAAGGAACCATTTTGCTCTTTATCTAATCTGATATCTATCTTTACAACTTTTGATAAACGGAGTAAACCATTGGAGTGTCCTTTGTCATAAATGAAGGATTACTTTGTTTTGTTATTTGACCCAAAGATAAAATCAGAATACAATGTGAAAAATCAATAAATAAAGTTGGAAGCTATTCTAGGTTTCCAAGTCTATAGTAATAAGCTTTTCAATGATGGCCAACTTTTGGAATTAAAGTTTAAACTCATAAATCTTGAACCCTACACTGATATTTCTGCTTATTTGATGACTTGAAACTATACAAACATAGGTTCAAATTTTATTTACATGTAGGTGATATTAATGACTGGAAAATACCTTACTTTACAAAGACTGTTTTATTATTATACATTATTTAAAATTTAATTTAAATTTGGAGACCAACTGTTAACTTTAATTGAAAACATTTAACTAAATACATATTATCTATATTTAAATATATATATCTGTTCAGAATCTTCAAACTGAAAGTACTAAAAAGAGTCAGTCTTTAATCTCATATCTTACTTACAGTTCAGTAGAACTTTTGGTAATCACTGGAATAGCCACATCTGTTCTACCATGGTAGCCTTTAGCCTCGTGTCACTATTAATCCTTCTAAATGTGTTTACTAAGGAATTGAACTTTAATTTTATTGTAAATTGAAATACCCCTGATTGAACAGTGGGTACTACAGTATGCAAGAGAGAATTAGTTATTTGTCATTCTATTTGTCAGCTATTTATACTACTCTTTTTGCACTTAGTAATACCTCAAAGGATATTAATACTTTGAGTATCTATGTTTTTTGAGTAGTATTGTATAGTTGGTGCACTTACTAATATGAACACCTTTCTTTGGATTGGAGAGAATGATGATTCTATTCTGTAACTGGCCCTTAATTGATCTCAGAAATTGTCCTTTATTGGTAAATTATACATATATTTTAAAATACTTGTTATTTTAAAATTTGCCCTATATTGTGCCATTTTCTATTTGCCTCGGTTTTTCCTATCATGCATTCCAATATTAGCTTCGGTAGACAGAAAAACTCAGATGAAGTTTTTCTCTCTATATATATATATATTAGTAAAAATATGCTTCTTTTATTTTTGAGAATTGAAGGAAGCGCTACAAAAATGATGACCATCACGAATTTGCGGTCAGGGAGCTTGTAGAGGGTCAAGCTGATGCTGTCATTTCTTGTGACGGTTGTGGTTCCTCAGATCCTTATTACCGCTCATTTCACCAGGACGCTTCTCCTAGTGGGCCAGGCCTATCAGGGGTTTGCAGTTGTATTTGATTGTTCTTTGGAGAAAGCACTCATATTTCTTTTCTTAATAGTTTTTTTTTT